GGGGGGGGGGGCACGTGCACTTTTAAGGAAAAGAAAAGAAACCAAAAAAGAAAAAAAGACTCATGAAATGTGTCCCCCTTTCCCCCACTTTTTCCCATCCACACTACGCTTATAATCCCGGATCAAGAAAACAGAGAAGGAAGAAAACTTCGGTCGGGCAGAGCGAGAAGTCGTTAATACGAGAATACTCGTACATCGTTCCACCGTAATGCCTCATTCGCATTGGGAGAATCTAATGCTCAGCTGATGTCCATCAGGGGGGAAAGATGGTTATGGTGTGAGTGAAACGATATGAGGGCGATCATGATGTGGATCGAACGAGAATAAGGGCATCTACGCTTGCGCAAAAGGAAAAAAGGCTGCTGCCATGGCCACGAAAAGGGGAATGCGTTAACTCAGCCCACCCAAGCAAGGGAAGGCCTGGTACACGAAGCAATGAAAATTCCTTAGCGAGGGGAGCAAGTTATTGGTAGGCCAGCACTTCCTCGTGCTTTTCCAAAGGATGCATGCGTTTAACCTTCAGCTTCACTACTTAATGGTGCTGGAGTCTTATCTATAATGATCTTCAGCATACCGGCTGTTATGATCGTCTCATTAATTTTCGGAAAGAGCATTAGCACTTCCAGAGTTCCATTCACCTACGCGTACGTGAATATTATTTTAAAAAATGGTTATTATAGAAAATTGTAAAAATGTCGTACGCTCTTGAAATTTCACTCAGATGAAGATTAGACCCGATTAGACATTAAAGAGGTGAATGCTGAAGTCAAGTGAATCAGCGGCAGAAGACTCATCGGTGAAAATGCTTTTGAAGCTCTTGGTTTCTGTGCTACAGCAATCTTTTCTAAAACTTACATTCGAAACTTGCACAGCTGTGTATAATTCTGGCCCGTGGTCTTATTCCGACCGGATCCCGGACAGACAGAAGTCATTGACATGTAGTGAGAGTTCTTTAGCAGGAATCATGCAACTCATAAGAAAGAACTCAAGGAAAGAACTTAGTTCGAGTAAGTTACACATCTCACATTAAAAATTTTTTTTTGGGAGTATGTAGGGATATTTTCAAATAATATAAAAATAATCAATTTTCATATGATTTAGTTATTATTTTAGCTTGAATGCGAGACGTCCATAGGCACTCGCTAAAAGCATCGACAAAATGTTCAAAAAAGCTGATCCACTCCCATCTAGTGAAAGGACAAAAACCTGTTTGATAAAATGTATCTGGAATTCAGCACCTTTGGCACAGAGCCCACATTGTGAATTCAAGCTCAGATAAACTTAGACGGCTGCCAGCTGTCGCTTTAAGCTAATGGGTTAATAAGAATAGATTATGGAAGCAAAACTTTCTTCTTTTTTTCTAAATACCAAGAGTTGTGGGGGACAGCGGATTAAATCACGCAAACAACTGGGATCATACGTGATCATTAGCATAATTACAGTGGCTTCACAGCTTGATCACTACTATGGCTCCTGCTCTGTTGGCCACAGCAATGGTCAGACTAGCAAAATGTGGTGAAGGTCTGGAGTCGTACGCCCCCTCTTGGTACGCCCCCCAGACCTCCGCCACATTGCCAACATACAACCACCAGACGCTTGTATGTTGGTAAAAATCGCAAATGATCCTCACAGTCTTAGGAGTTGTGCACTCCTGTCTTAGAGTCTAATATGAAACTGTTCAATCACAACCCTAACATGTTATAGACTTGAATATAGACTTGACGCTGCAGAAAATCCCTGTTCTGTGAGTGTAATTCCTGTTTGAAACAGAGGATGATGAGGAAACAAGAGATATTCTCATTTTGCGCTTCGGTTCATCGAAAGCAGGCACGGACGGCCGAGTCTCGAGTCACCGTCTTCATCGAGTTTGAGGAGTTTCAAAGCAACCTCCACCCGTCCTACACCGCTACTATTCCCTCAGAAGTGTATAGTGATTGATCTGCTGCGATCACGATCGAAGTAAAACGGGATGGTTGTGATTTCAAGAACAAGAAACCGTAATGAAACGTAATAGGAAGGTATTAAGCAGGATAAACCGCCGAGGAAGGAGTTAAGAAAGAATGAGTCATCGGTTGACAGCTGGTTGGCTCCAGAAGCGATGACGTCGTTCTGCGAGAAGAATCAAAGGTCTTTTATGCCTCGTTTATCCTTTCATCTCTTCATTCTTTCCGCACGATGGTGCGCTTTAAAAGGTCGGCTTCGGTTCAACGACGTCAGCAAAAGTCCTGCTTTATATTACAGCGCGAGATCACATCAGGAACAATCTAATCGACGAGTTTTCATCCCTTGAGAAAATTCACAGATCCTCCTTTTCTTTTTTTTTCCTTCAGCGTTCTCGTATTTCGGCTCTTCTCATTCAGGTGTTGGATTCGGGCAATATTGCGAACGTTTTTTTTTTGGCAAAAGAGGGAAGGATGGAGCTTGTCTCTACGCGTATTTTTTCAACGCGATCAACTCATCTTGGCAGTGCCAATGTACTAAACTACTTCGCGATGAAGTGGGAGAAGTGGGAACATTGGGAAGTGGGAGTTTGCACACATGACAGGACAGTTTGTGCCTGGGATATTCTGGTCAATACTACAGGCTTGCAGCCACAGGTTAGGCCCATTAGCAATTAATGAAATAATGAGATGAGTGTACATTTCCTCCGACCCTATATTTTCAGGTACTTATGGTATCTTGACATTAAAATAACATTGAGGCTATGGTGAAGGCAAATGCGAAAAATGAATTTGGGTGGATTTTTGAACAGAGCACTATCCGATAATGCAGCTTTATTTACCGGATTTATAATGCATTTTCTCCGAAATAAAGCTGCATTATCGGATAATGCTCTGTTCAAAAATCCACCCTTAGCATTTAATAGCCTCCAAACGACTTCGCCTGCCCATGAAGAGTCTCTATATGTTGAAAATACGGTTAATTACGAGTAGTCGGCATTTCATTGCTGTTGATTCTTCGCTGAATGGTCAACATCAACCATGTCTCAACATTTCAACCTCTTGTCACTGTTGACACAACGTTGCTGCGCCGAATGGGTGGCCAGGTGAAAACTCCTATACAGAGTCCGCCAAAAAAATGTATACACACTTCAGGAAAAGAAAAACTTGTATAAATATTTTAATACTAAATTTATTCAGACATCATGAGATTAATACAAGTTACCTTTGGCCTCTACAATTACAAGAGGTGCTCAAAGTGGTGGCCATTAGCTTCCAGACATTTATTAGTACGGCGAACTGCTGCCTGGGCAACTTTGGCCAAAGTGTCCAGTGGGATTGCTGCACATGGATTTTCAATTTCTTCTCTAAGGGCCGCCAGTGTAGTTGGTTTTCTGCGATATACGTCATCCTTTAGGTACTAATAAATGTCTGGAAGCTAATGGCCACCACTTTGAGCACCTCTTGTAATTGTAGAGGCCAAAGGTAACTTGTATTAATCTCATGATGTCTGAATGAATTTAGTATTAAAATATTTATACAAGTTTTTCTTTTCCTGAAGTGTGTATACATTTTTTTGGCGGACTCTGTATTTAATTCTTTACTCCGGGGAGAATGTTCACACGATTCCGGGAAACAATATCCAGAATATAAGTATTTATCGAGTGTTGAACGTCTTCGGGATACGAGTGCCTGCTATTGGTTTGCAGGGAAATTCCGCAACTGCATTGTGAATAATTATCACCGCTATCGAGTGGTGAGTAGGAAGCGAGGAGAATGGGAAGCAGCTGTCCCTCCAAGCTAAGCTGGAATAGGTCTATCGAGAACATACCAGGAAAGCAAACACGTCATGCGAGAGTGTTAATGGAGCGCAGCTCACAATGAATGAACTCGACAAATTTGGGAGGAATGACATACGGATGCGACATATCTATGTTTTGCTGCTCGTGTACTTGAAATACAAATCCAGGGTGATTTTCCATTATGGAAATTTGGAAAGAAAACCTTCATGCGACGTGAACTTAAGTTTTCCCAAAATTGAGTCAATGGTTGAAAAATGGGATATCGTCGTGGGTCTTTCAGTCATAACCTCGTCAAACTCATCAGTCTTTGCCTGCTTCTTCTGCATTTTGTCTCTCTTCTCTCGGAACTGTGTAAATTCCGTCTAAAGACCCCTTGCTCACATCGAGGAGAGCCAGTCTTTTATTAGTTTAGTGCTGATATTCTCCTATTGACAGCTTAAAAAAAGTTTTATTCTCAGCAGAGAGTATCCCCCTTCTGAGGCCCCATGGTAAAGCCTCTAGGCATCCGCACGCTGTCTGGCATAATTCGGTAACCAAAGTGCACTCATACATGTACAAGCGCCAGGGCCGGATTAAAGGGGGGAGCAAAGGGGGCTGTTGCCCCGGGACCCACTCTTCCAAGGGGGTCCTCCTGAAGGAAATTAAAGTTAAATATTTGCGTTAAATAGCGGGGGGAGGGGGGGCGTAGCCTCAAGAAACCACTTGCCCCGGGCCTCGTGACTTCTTAATCCGGCCCTGACAAGCGCCTACATAATGAGTGAACTACAGCAATTCCCCTACTCCGACAGTGTACATTTTCATGTACACCGTACATGTAAGGGCACATTTTCGAGCTAAGACTCAAGGTGCCTTTTCTTGAGTTTAAAACATACTTCGGGATTGGCTACAGTTACCTTGTCACTCGACACCTTATTTCATGAATATCCATCCAATTCAATCTTTTGGATCAGTTCACAAAGGTATCTTGTCCTGAAGCCCTTGAACTCGTCCCTAGTCTGAGTCCTAAAATCAGCGGCGCAACCTATGGAGGTTGGTGAGTGCTTCACCCAGAATTGTGGCGGACATACTTTCGCAACAAGTAGTTCCCTCTCAACACACCGCTCGCATTTTCGCTCAGCTCCCCCCCCCCCCCCCCCCCCCCCCCCCCCCCCCCCCCCCCCNCCCCCCCCCCCCCCCCCCCCCCCCCCCCCCCTTTTCCTGCACCACTGGACTTGGCAACCGCAAGAACCTCACTTATGATTGCGGCGGGCGAATTTCTCCTCCCGCCAGGCACTCAAGTCCAGCTGTGCCCTTGCCTTGGAAGAGTCTTGATTTTGGTATGCCAGAAAATTAATAGCTTTTCCTTGATAGCCTTCCTCAGGAAGTAAGTTTTGCGTAGGAATTCCAAAATCCGTCGATCTTGAAATTTAATTTATTACATTGGAAGTCCGGTACATATATTTCAGTTAATAAGGGGTATATAGAAAGCTGGAGAAACATGTGTCGAAAGAGGATAGTATGATTTCGTCACCGCTGGTGTCCAGGATTTAATAAACATCCAGTGTTACAGTGTTTTTCACTTCAGTCAGACAAATTTTCCCTTGACTTTGATCATTGTGCGTAGGATAGTTACTCATTCTTGGGTGCCTAAGTCAAGTGAAAAACACCGGGTAATGCACACTTCAGATACTTCTCACCCTGAACGCTTAGAGATGGGGGGGGGGGGGGGGGAGAGAAGGATACAGAGAGGCTGACTGAGATCATTGTCTAGAAATACATGTATTTCTAGACTTGGCACAGTCTAGAAATACGTGCATTAGTATACTCTGCCAAGATGGCGTCCTTCTCTCAACACTCCAGCCCTAGGCCTTATAGCAGGATCCGTAAGATTCCAGTAACCTCCAGTGAAGGTCATGGTCTAACCTTAACGTTAGAGATACATAGATCTAGGCGAGACCTATCTTTAGTTCTTTTGCTTTTAATCCAATGATTGCGAAATCCAATAATAGGCCTTCTTAATAGTAACGTTCAAAGGCCTAAAATAGCTTGACTCATCATCACCCAGGTAGACCCATTTATGTGTTTTTTTTATTTAGCCCAAAGGTTAGATTACAAACTATTCACATACTAAAACGCATTGGTTGACCTTGACCTAGCATGAATAAGTGTCATGTTCCCATTATATTCACAGCTTCATAGCTTCTATTAAAGTGATCACTTCGACACAAAGTAAGGAAAAGGTAGCGAGAAGTAAGGAACGCCTTGAATCAGTTCCATACAGAGATTTCCAGAATATGCCTGATGCAGGATAGCTCTGGTTGACCATTCACCACCACCACTCCCACAGTGCAATTCTAAACATTTGTGTAGGGGTGTTGATCATCAGTTGGCCAAAATGTTATATAACATGAAGTCTGGTGTCAAGGTATGGGAAAAGACACAACTTTGACTAAGAAATAAGTTGTAGAAATGGAGATGTGGGACGCCTGTTAGTATAGATATATGGAATGGGAGGGAGACACAAACAGAACTTATATAAAAAGTTATAAGTTTTCAAAGTGTTGTGACTAGGCCCATCCATCATTGCTTATGCATTTCATGATGTAAGATTTACTGTGGTACAGCTGTGATGGGAATCACCTTGTTGGTTCCATTTGGCTTTCTCCCTTTTTTCAAATGAGATTTATACAAGTCTTCATTTTAATTTGCTTGTTAATTTGCATTCCTTAGGTGGCTAACCTCGTTATCTATGCATCCTCAAAAGCTTAAATTATGTTACAAGCATAATTTTATCAGTATGCATAAGGTACATGCCACCAGTTAGGTTGGGTGAACCCCAACCTGAGTCTTGAAAGATTCAGATTTTGTGATCTACAGTGAAGAATTTTTATTTTGTGCTTTCAGGCTGCCTTCTTTTTTTCTGTTTGCACTTTTATGAGTTAGCAATTTCTGTGTCCCACTCATGGGTGAGGAATGGGACTTAGCTGCAGTGACAGGGTAAATGGTACATAATACAATCTAAGTCAGTTTTCACAAAATGTGTAACAACTAGCTTGTAGGACTGTAAATTATCTAAAGCAAATACTCACATAGATGTGAGATTCTCCAAATGGGCATTCGATTCAGTGCTCCAACCAGTCACCATGAAGAAGTGAATTTGGGAGGAAGTGAAGGCACTCATAGAGAATCAGTGGCACATCATGGTGCTGATATGGGGAGTTCGAGTGGTGTTCCTGTGAGAGGCACCAATTCTGGAACCAGTGGTCTCTTCACACTCTTCAGGGGAGATCAACATCGAACAAACTCCTTCTCAGGTGTATCCCCAGATCGAGGAAGCAGACAGTCACATCTGTCATTCCCACCCTTTCGCTCAGCAACCTTTAGTGATCCTGATTCTCCTGGTTCCTCTATCCCAGCTGATGATGACGTAGTGGTTACTTCCACATTCAGAGGTTTCTCGTTCCTTCCACGACACATGGTTGCTGCTCATTCCCTACCTGCTCACTTTTGGCCACCTGCAGGTTAGAAACAAGGAATTTTCTTCAAATATATAGGATGCACTTTTTGTTTTTCTGGGCTCATCGCAAAGTCCATTTCTGCATTTAAGATGAGCAAAACTCAAAAGCATGGTAGCCAAAAGATAAACTTTCAAGTTTTCTATTTTGTGCTGGAATTGAGTTGAACATATGACCTTAGTTCTTCAAATTCCTCTGTACCAATGACAATGCTGAGAGCTTGTGAGAGTATGATGAGGCCAAGTATCCAAGACAGTTATCTGAGTGCTGCCTCTCTTAATGAGATTATGTATGTTTCTTTTGGTGTTTTGTTATAAGAATGGTAATGTCATCCTATGTTAAAATAAGAAATTGTTGGTCAATTTCCTACCAAAAATTTTACAACCTCATGTGTTTTAAATTCAGCTAAAAGTATCTTACAGTTCAGTGAGCACCTCAGGGATAGGATTTTCATGAGCAAAGCAGGGTACTCTCTGTAAGCACCTTAAGCCTTTCAGCAAAGAGACACTGGTTATAAAATTGCTCAACAGGATTCCTTTCAATGCATTTAATGCTAATTTTCCATATTTGCTTGTAGATTCTTGTACATCATTGTGATCATTTTGCACCACTGTGCTGCTATGTGATATTAGCACTTTTTGCCTTGTGAATAGAGTTTGGCCAATATCTCCATTTAGAAACAAATAAAATTTCAAATAAAATTAAAATAATAGATATTAATTTACAATTTAAGCTTTCATTTGTATGAGTGCTAGTGTACTGCCAAATCTATATTGCCACTTGGAGAAATGTAGCACCCACTTAGTATTTCATATTTAGGTAAATTTAGTTTGGCTACATAATAAACCAGTAAATTCAGACAGGTTTTTTTCATTGTTTATCTATCCAGCAAGTGATAATGTCTGAGTCTTGAAAATCATTGTCATTCATCTATTGTTCATCCAGCCTTTACATGCAACTGCTCCATTGAAAAGCAAGAGAATTTTTACTCATATGCTGATATTTCTTGTTCTCATTAAGCTAACATAACAGTTTGGGAATGAAATTGTTGCTCAGGTTTCTATGTCATTTTCTATACCCAACAGCCCGTTAAAATACGTGATTAGCTTAAAAATATTTAATTCCCAAACTGGTTACTATACCATGAACTCTTTGTCCACATATGCAATAGTCATGTGGTTTTATATTCACAACAAGTACAATGTATGATGTAATTTATGTAATCGTAGATGATGTAGCAACATATGCCCTAAAAGAAATGAATATTCAGCATATAGGGGTAAATAGATACTGATGCTGAAGTCATGAATGAAACTTGTACAAGAAATTATGTGAAATACATGGGCTAGTAAATGTGTGTTTCAATCATTCCTGCATGAATGTTTGGATTTGTTTGGTCCCTGTAGTCCTAGTAATTCTTAACCTTTTATCAAAAATTGAGTGCTTTTTTGAGCAGTGAGGTATATGCAAGCTCCCACCTGGGCCTCAAGAAACAATAGTATATATGTCTGAATAAAATTTCAAAAAGCAGCAACTAGGAGCAAATATATATATTTAATTGAAAGGTTTATCATGAACTGATGACTATTTAAAAAAGATTCATTTAAACTTTTTTTAAAAATATCACTTCAATGGGATACCTTTGCGAATGGTGAAGCTGTAAACACAGCAGAAAGAGAAATGGAGAAGTGTTTGTTTCTTGAAATAATGAGGCAGAACCCATCACAGAGAGGTAATAACTAAAACTTCAGCATCAAGTAACTCAGCAAAAAATGACTAACAATCATAGAGTGTATGAAGACTCATGTTCAATTTTAGTGAAAAATTGGTTGATTTTGAGGGTTTCATGAAAATAAGTCTATGCTATGAGTATGATTGGTAAATATAAAGGGACTGCAACTTGATTCAGGGAGCCCTTTATCTCACTCGAATCAGTGACTGACTGAAAAGAAAATTGGAATGCTGATATGCATCAGTCTACAGAGGACTGAATTTCAGTTCCAAAACAAGTATGCAGTCAGATTTCTGTGGCTAAAGGGGCATCATTGCCTCTTTGTCCATGTTAAGTGATAGGCCAAAAAAAGCTTCCAATATCCTTAGCACACTTGTCTGACTTTTGTGATATGCAGGTTGAGAACTGCTGCCATTGGTCAATGCTTCATTCAGCCTTCAAAAAAGTCAAGCCTTCTTGAAAAATGAAAGTATTTGTGCACTATATGTGACTTCATATACAGGAAAACCTCGGTAATTCAAAATCCACGGGACCAAAAAATACTGACTTCGAAATAAGCAGGTTTGAATTATCTGGTTTGGCCATTGTTATTTTTTAATACTGTACTATTCAGTTGGATTTAGTACAGCAATACTGTACTAAATTCATGTGTTTTGTGCCTCGTATTCTCTTCCTTATGTCAGTTTCATGGCCACCTTCTGCCAGCTTTTCAATGGTGCCATGATTTTTAAGGAATGTGGATAGAGTTGAAAGTGGTATGTCAAATTCTTTTGTGATATCAGTCTTCGATTTTTCTTTCTTGTCCACTTCACGACTTATTAAATTAACAACAAATTAACTTCCAACTTCTGTGAAGTACTTAACTCATACTTCCTCTTGTCCATCATGGCACATTCACCCCTGTTTCGCTCACAACACAGAGAGGGAGAGAGACTGTGCTGCCACAATGCAAAGTTTTTTTACTTGAAGGTTGTACAAGGTGTGAATGAGATAGGTAAGGGTAGAGGGAGAGATTTAGTGAAAGGGAGCATTAGTCTATATTTAGAATTATTCTGAATAAAAAAAATTAAGTTTCCAAGGCAATTAGATGGCTTTGCAGCCATTTAGAGTGCGAAGTTTGAGACATCCATAGTTTGTAGGGAAAAGTGCCCTTCGAAGTAAATGAACATGTTTCTGAGTTTATAGCTCACAGGACCAGAAAATGCCTTCAGATTTCATAGTATCCATATTTTGAATTATCCATACTATAAAGCATACAAATCGCTATCCTCTCGGACGAGGAACTTACATGACTTTGAAGTATCTGATACTTCGAACTATCCAATATCAAATTAATGAGGTTTTCCAGTACTAGTTAATGTGTGGCAAATAGATGAATACATATGGCACATACACTGCTCAAAAAAATTGATGGGTCATCTGTGTTTTTAATGCTCTCCTTGGGCAAAATAATTGCAATTCATTTAAAGATACAGTACTCCAATTGAATTGACATGCAAATGAAAGATATGTATACTTGGGAATGGTGTATTGTGTTTGGGTTGTGGATCATGGACATGTAGGTTCATAGAAAATTCTTGGCTCAACTTCAGAGTGACTCAGTGTATTCATGTGTGGCGAGAACCAGGAAATCAACATTATCTGACTGGGAACAGATAGGGATCCAATGGTGGAAGTGGGGTTGTGATGTGAGGAGGTATCAGCATTGGTGACTATACAAATCCTCACTTGTTTTCGAATGATGAGGTAACAGAACAGAGCTATAGGAATGAGAGATTGTGATCCATTGTTTGACCCCATGCAGGGGCTATTGGGCTCAATTGCATACTGATAATAATGCCTGTCCACACTGCTTTTTTGTTGAATGAATTCATGGAGGCTGAAGGTATTGTTTGTATGGACTGGCCTGCAAGGTAAATGGGTCTCAATCCCAGAGAGGATATCTGAGATGTGATCTGGACAATATGTCATGAGTCAAAATCAGCCACCACACACCATAAGGAATTGTCACTACCCTCATGGAAAAGTTGGGCAAAAATCCTGCAGGAACTCCTCAGCATATTACTTAGGAGCACATCCCATCACTTTCGATTAACGTTATTATATACAATTATAAGGGGGAAAATAGGCATTCAGAGGGAGATTAGGGGGTTGATTAAAATTCAAATAATTTTGATTAATTTTTAAAATCACTATTAATATTTGAATCGATTAATGGATCAATGAAATTAATAGAATTGACAGCCCTAATTGTATGTTAACATGGCTAGGCTAGCAATTATTTTGACCAGGGGGGCCTGAGATTATAAGAAGTACTGTTGATTTTTACAATTATTTTATTTAGCTATGTGTATGTTAATAACTGCCAAAATGAACCATTCATGGAAGTCTTCTTGACAGTGAGGAATTAGGAACCACTTAATATAATTTTGTGGATGTTGCCTTGCACTTATAGAGACAGTTTCTTGTTGGAGCTGCTATGTTGAGCATTCTAACAGGACTGTTTTTTGTGAAATGTCATTCTGTCTGCAACCATTGCTGGTCATATTCCATGCAGAAGGAGTCCGATGTCCAGTCTGTGATGATCTTGTGCCGCTTGAAGACCTGGAAACCCATCTAGTTGGGTGCTTGGGGAGGTCTCGTTTGGAATACAATGGTATGCATTTTTCTGAAGTTTTCCCAAACATACCACATTTTTCTCACAATTTATCATGTTCCAATATGAGTCATGTGTTTTGAAGAGCATGTTTTGAGTTAGAACTTTTTTTTTTCATGTACATCATGCGACTCTCTTTTTTTGGTTTGGGCTATAACCCTGCGAGGTTATGAACACGAAACTTTTTTACAAATATTTTCTTTTGGTAGCATTTGAGTTAGCTATTATGAAAATCTCTGTTGAATGATTTCACCTTAGAACTGATCCCTTTATTTGCAGGATAATGCTTTTTTGTATTTTCCTTGTTTTCTGTACTTACTACAGAGGATATCCTGACAGAAGAAAAGGGAGAATGCATCATATGTCTGGAAGATCTGGAAGCAGGTCACACAATAGCACGCTTGCCTTGCCTGTGCATTTTTCACAAGGAGTGAGTTGCACTAGCTCTATCTGATGCGGCTTCTTTCTTTGATAAGAATCTCAGAAGTTTGCTTTTTGCTTGTTTATAAGAGGGCCATTCAGTCTATCCTCTTATTTGTATTCCACCAACTAGGATTTTCTTTCTCTGTAAAGGATTTTTTCCCCCCTTTCATCTAAGTTACAAGATTGACATGTCATGGGGGACTAAAGGAGCATGGGATATCAAGAGAGCAGTACAATTTATTGCTTCAGAATGGTTATATACCTCTCAAAATCATCCAAAGAGGCTAACCTGCCTTTGACAGTTTCTACCTGAAGCCAACTGCAAAGAGCAATAGATATTGTCTGTCAATAGCTCCTGCCTTTTTCTGTCAAGGTTCCTCAATAATATATTGTAGTTGTAAGCAAGTTGTTGTAAGGCTCAAAGCCTCTGACTTCAATGTTGGGAAGGAGAATCTTAGCCTCTTCATCTGTTTCACTCTTAACAGGTGGATGATGCTGAAGTATTCAAGAGTCTGATTATGATACAAATCAAGGGTTCTAATTTGCACTCTTTCTTGTTTGGGGTGGAGGTTCAATATAACTCTTTGGATTCTCAGCTTTTAATATTGTCTCAACTCCTCAGCTGTATTGAAAATCCCTTATTTCATTTAGAAGAAACTTTGAGTGATTTTCACATAATCCCTCAGAACTAGAGGCAAGGATAATAGATCCTTTTGTGAAGTCATTCTGAAAAAAAGAAAAAACTTCAACTCGGCACTCCTGGACCTATCAACGGGATTCAAAATAGATGAAGCAAAAATTCATTTGGAGGATGTCAGGCTGGTAGTTTTGAAGTGACTGAAAGATAAAGCTGGGGAAAGTATAGACAGCATTCACACAGCATCATGATCAGATTGGCATCAAATATCTCTGAAAAGATGTGATCACATGTTAATTGAGAAGGTAAAGAATGTCTATACTTCATTTTGCTAGTTTTGATACAAGAAGGAAGTCATGCTGAAAATTAATCTGAGAGGGATTATATGAATTTCCCATTGAGTTCATTGATTATAATTATTCAATTAGAATAACAATGAAGGATTATGAAATGTTGAAGTCCACTCATCACAAGAGTGTTGGGTCTGTTCCACCATCCTGGTCCAGAGGTGGTGACAGATAGAGAATGGCTTTGATGCAGCTTTGGATGTTGGACCTCCACACCTCATACTGTGCAGCTATTTGCGCACTGCGTCGAAGATTCGATTTCGGCACCCTAGAGGGTTATCATAAACAAACAAATCAATGATATAAAACTAGGGCTGTCCATTCGATTAATTTAATCAAAGTGTTAATAGCTATTGAAAAAATTAGTCGAAATTATTTGAATTTTAATCGACCCCCTAATCTCCCCTAGAATGCCTATTATTCCCCTGATAATTTTATCATATAATAATATTTTAATATTTTAATCGATTAAATTTATCGAATGACAGCCCTATATAAAACTTTATTGAATTCTGTTTCTCTTGGCACAAAACCCTTGCTCTAGTCCACAAATGTCAAAAGTTGTTACAATTTAAAAATAGGGAGTGATTATCCAACACCCTGTAACTCTCAGAAGCATGAATTTCAAAGCACCAGGGTTAACCCTATATTGCATACTGTAGATTCAAAGCAACATACCTGCTTTCATGCCAAAAGAGCCCCCATTGACCATGTTTGTTTCTGGCGGTGAATGGTTTAACTTCAAGGCAACAAGCATGAGCTGTTGGTTAGGGCTGTACTGATCCATCGGCAACCACCGGCATCGATTGCCGGTATGCCATCCTCTGCACCATCGGTCATCGGCTGGTATTCACATTGCCGATGCCGATGACAAAGCCCCACCTTCCCTCGAGAAGGCAAAAGAAAGAGGAAGACGCGTCTCTGAATGCGTCCGGCGCCAAACTTCCTGTCTCTTTTCCAATGAAAAGGAACATATTCTTCTGGCCTTGTAAAAAAAAAAAATCAGAATCGTACATGGCATGAGTAACTCCTTTTCTATGCCTTAGGTTGAGACATGGATTTAATGACTGTCCGTTCCAAGAAAGCACAGACTGGTAATGATTCTGGTCTCTTCTTGGCAGCTAAAATCTAAACATTGAGTTACATAAACTGAAGCAGAAGTCTCTCCCAGCAACTTATGCTTATGTCGAGTCAAATGCTGGCATTTTACATCCAGACAGGCTTCCTCTCTCTTTTCCAAGAATGCGGAGGCCTAGGGCTTAGAATTTGCACTTTCTGGCAAGCAATAGGTTTTTTGCGTCCCTCTAGCAAAAAAAATTGATCTTTTACAAGGGCGTGATTCAGTTGTTCTCAGCCGCAGCGATCGCGTCAAACGATGGCATTGGGCACCCTGCCACTACTCTGTTTCTCTTCCAATAAAAATCACGCATGCGTTTGGCCTCACCATGCAGAATAAATAACACGAAGATTCAGCGTCATAAATATCATAAACTCTCGCGAAAGTTGTTGATAACAATGAAGAGTGTCATGCAATAATTCGTTGCGTTTTTTATCTGTCACAATCAGTGTCTGCACGGATACTGGCCGAAGTATGTGAGATCATAACCGGCCATCGGCACATCGGCCGATGATAGCCTACAATCCTAGTTTTAAAGAATTTTTCAGTTTGCCAAGAAGCCTCCAAGTTTTCAAATGTGTTTTTAAAAAAATTTTTATTCGTGCAATATAGTTAATAACTTCATAGTGTGAAGATTCTTGCAAAGGTTTCTGCCCGTAATTATCACATGTTGTCGAAAGATATTCAGAAGTTTTGCATGTTTGCAAGTAGAAGAAAGCGAAGTTAATGGTACCCTGCTCAACTGTATGGTGAGGATTGTCTGGTTTGCTGCTATGGTTTGTGACTCATGATAACGTGAATAGAAGCACTTCCTTTCCTAAGCACCTATATACATAAAAAGGGCATGATTTGTTTCTGAAGAATGACTAAGTAAATACTATGGCTCCTGTCATCTCTTTTTTGAGATTGAAATGCTGGATTCTTCGCATCATCAAATACAAATGTCAAGAACTCTTTCAATCCTTCAGGCTCCTTTTTAAAGCAAGTCATGGAAATCATAGGAAATGGAAAAAATTATTCTGCTTGCTAGTGCCAAGGAAGGAAGGAAACATGTCACTGCTTTGGATCATAATATAGAGAAGAGGCTCTTGACAGCTCCTATCATACAAACAGTAATAAATATACACTTCTTTCCTTTACTACTCTTTCCATCGGCAAACTTTTAGAAATGTACAAGCTATATACTTCTTACCAGTATGCTTCATTTTCATGCAGAAATGCATGGTAGTTCTTTGTCAATCAAGCAAATGGTGAGGGATACCTTGCTTTTAAACTTGCATGTCTTCCCTTTTAAGTGGCATTTATTTCACCTGAATTCTCAGAAAGTTCAAAGGTCCATCTTTGCATGATGGGGGTTTTTTTTTTTTAGTTACTTTTGTTTGAAGCTAACCTGAAACCAGTAAAATTGAAGAGCCAAGAGGGAGTGAGTTGCAGCATGTGGACTAGAGAGGCTGTTTGTCATAAACTGTGATTCTAGGCAGTTGAAGGAATATTGATACCTGCTACTAGGGTGATTGTCAAACAAACATTAATCCAATTAATTCTGCAACTAATTATTTAATAACTGTCAGGCAAATTTTCATCACTCCATTCTTCCTGCTAAATCTGGCAATTGAATCATCACCTTCATGTGGCTTCCTTGACACTGGGATTGACAATGAAATTATCATTCAATTGGCATAAAATTTATTCAAGGGGAGATTTGTTTATTCATTGAAACTCTAATTATTTTGATTAATTCTTGAAATTATGATACATATTTTATCTTTGAGTTGATCAGCTAATTACTCCAATTTTCATGCATACTCTTGATAGATATTGACACCATTAGAGTGTTAGACTTCTCATGTACTGATGTTTGCATAATATAATATCCTAATTCATGAATGAAAGATATTTCAGTTTTCCTTGCATATGCAGAAAGAGGATTTTATTTTCCAGGTGGGAGTATGGCCAGTTGGCCAAAATCAATTAGGACTGAGAGCCTAGGTCAAGACACTTCTTGCTAATGAGACGAATGAAACCCTACATAATGGTTAAGGGTGTTTCACACTTCACGTGTCAAGTGCCCTTTGTGTTAATGCTTGGGGAGGTAGATAGACACACACATGCCCACTTACATTCAAGGGTTTTTACAAAATGCATGGCTTGCATTTTAAATTGAACTCATCCCATTTCCACTTCCAAGCCTTGTGTTTTGTGAAATCCCTTGGATGTAAGTGGATATGTTTGTGCATATGTGCATCTGCCTACCTGTACAGCATTGATGCATGACATGCAAAGTGTGAAATCCCCTTTGCTCATAGAGTCCCTCTCATTGCTTAATGTAGAGGATGAAAAGTGCTTAGACTGCTTGCCTGATTTCTGTTTCACCAGGTGCATAGAGATGTGGTTTCACAAGAAATATGCTTGTCCAGTACATCCCGATACGAAAAATAAGGATCATGGGGGAAACAATGGAGAGGAGGATCTTGAGGGTTCCGGTTGATATCACTTCCTGGTTGCCCTTTGGTTGCCCTTTGCCCTCACCTGAACCCTACTGGCCTATTTTTATAAGAATTTGGGAGATGCTCTATTGAGACCCTTAGGAGAGATTGGAGGAAACTTTGACTGGCAGCTTGGGATGCTGAGGCCCAGATTCAATGTGCAATGACATGATGTGTATTGCCATGTGATTCAGACATTCTATTATATATGTTTTAAGTTTTGATGTGACTTGGAAGAGGCATCACCTAGAATATACACTTGCTTCTCAGTCCTTTCTCTTCCCATTCTTGTATGGGAGCTACTATTTTGTTTCACAGTGCCATTGTGATTGAGAAAGATTGATAAAGGTGAATCCATGCTTTCATTTGCATATGGCTGACATTCTTCATCTAAAGCAGTTAATTTTGTTTTTTGGTAACTACTAATGACATGTGGTTCATTTTGCAAGGTCAAATGGGAAACTAGTGCCATAGATTTGGGAAAAAAAAACACTGTGTGGCCATTGCACTGCTATGAAATAAGTTGTCTGTTGGTCACTTTTAAACCATGGGCAATATCAGTATTGGGTTTCTGTGCTTGTTTTTTGTTTGATTAAGAAAGGGAATGTCTTAAGTCAGATATTGGTATTTTTACTTATTGGTATACTATGGACAAAGATTTTTAGCTTTTGCTTTTAAATACTCTTTGTAAGAGCAAGCAGGGGCTGGGGGTGCAGAATAGAGTATTAGTTCTGTGAATATGGAGAAAGTCAGCAATCTTGATTGTCGAGCTGGAACTCGTCATGAAGGAATTCTTTCTCAAGGAGAATCCTTTGGTATTTATTGTTGTCAAGTCTGCCTTGCTTCTTGAATCAGTCCAATGCTGTAGGGATATGCAATGCTAACCTAAAGTGGAACCAGGTCTAGTCGGTGGAAACCCATATTGTGATGCACAGGTAAATGTGCTTTGTGTTTTTAGTTTTTTGGGGCTGCAACTGACACTTGTGTCTCAGGGATCAAAGAAAGGTGACTGTTTTCCACTGTACTGTTTCTCTTCTGTTCCATTTTTGTGCTTCATTTCTTCCTGTGCAATGCTTTATATGTTCAGTCATTCCAGTAGTCATTGAAGAGTCTTTTGCCAATGTTGGTTCTTCTCAGCTGATGTTGCCTTTCACCTTACAGATTCATAGGGTCTTTTGCCATCGGAGTCTGAAGATCCCCAGCCCTGCTTCTTTGATTAAAAAAAATAGAACTTTTGAATCCCTGAACTATGATATCCTTTACTTATGAGGAAAGGCATTGGTCTGGAGTGTGCAGAGTATAAGAAATGGGCTATTCCTCAAGAGTAATACATTTGAATCTACTTGCCATGCAGGATGAAGTTGGCTGCCATGTTAAACCTCTGCCATGGGCTAAACCACGAGAACAGGCCACTGTCCAATGTGTCCAGCCCCTTCCAATAATCATTATTGTCAATGATTGCTTTCACTTGCTTGCAGCAACAGGCGATTTTCTGGTTGTATAGACTCAGACAATTTTGATGCAAAATGGGTCATGAAATTATGGAATCATTATGAGGTGTTACTCATGATCATATCACTACACCAGTTTTGAGGTACAGGGTGATCATAAAATCAGGAAATCCAAACATTTATAAGCTATGCCCATGAAATATGCAAGTATTAAAAAAAACTTTTAACCTTGCACAAATTAACTTCAACCTGTGTACCATTTTTTATTTGTGTTGAACACGCACAGGTTGAACTTGATTTGTGCAAAGTTGGAAGGATCTATTTTTTATGGTATGGGTTTCCTTATTTCATGATCAAAATTGTATTGTGTTAGATACCATTATAGAGAGTGACCTGCATACTTCCTCTACCCCACCTTCAGTACAACGCGAACTCAATAGCTTACATTCTCTATAATGGTTCTGCTGCATAATGTTGCGCACACAATTTTTTCATCAAGGATTGTTACATCATGACTGGTGTTTCAAGTGGGAACGAGACTTCACGTGTCAAACGTCGTTAAATGGTTACTACTTAATAGAATGCCTACGATGAGGGTGCAACTTCAATTACGAAGCAATGGATAGCAGCTAAGTTTGGGACAAGAAGCTACGATGCGTCTCTTGAAGAGGTGAATGGGGTTCTACAAGAGATACCAAACGGGGATATGGTTTTCCTGATAGGGGACTTCGATGTTCTTGTTGTTGAGTAGCAATGTATGATGGTGTAATCGATTTGGTTTAGGAAAGCTACGCTGAACGGGCATGCCATTCGCTTCGATAAATTCCTGCAAGTATGGAAACGATGTTCCCATTCTTGAAAATCCTTGGGGAAAGCCGTTCCCACATACTTTTTTTCACTGGCTTAAGCAATACCATCTTCCAGCTCAAGGATATGCACAGGTGCCTTTGGGAGGGATTCTAACAGTCACACTGATGCTGTAGGCCAACAATCGCTTGTTGACTGTGTGATCGTTTCGACAGATCCGTGGTTACAAATATAAATTTAACAGGTATTGGTGTTCTCAATCGGGAACATCAAGGATGTTTCAGAAATTCCCCATTTGCCACATAGTTAGTCGTCAGCAATTTCATGTAAACATTATTCAGATATGGAATATATCTGAATGATATGCAGTAAAGGATTAATTAGATGAAATTACACCCATGGTTGCACTCGGCAGCAGAAAATCTCTCAAATGAAAGTTCAAGAGGGGTAAAGTAGATTCATAGAAGTTCTCTGGTTCAGGCAAACCGTTAAAACGTCATGAAATTGACAGGATTTACCGCAAAAGCGGATAGCGACGAACGTCCAATTTTCCCTAGTTCGTCGATCAATTTACTCCGTGTTCGCTTTCGGTGCGGTCAATGGCAGACGACTCGAATTTTGTTTTACTCTCTTCGTGGCGGAGAAGAGTGTCTCTGCTCGAGCAGTTGTCAAAGGCAGAGTTAAAACTGGGTCTATTAGCTTTCAGTTTCGAGAGCGCATCTCTTGAGTTCATGAATGCTCTGAGATTTGAAAAAAAAAAGTACAGGAGCCAAGAAAACTATGCGGCATGAGAGCTGCAAAGGCAGATTTTTAGGCTATTAAAAAATCATTCCAAGACACAAGACACCTTCCCCCCGAAACGACGTCCCTGCTCCGTGATGAGGAAACCTATGACGAATTGACAAAGGTAAAAGGCGAATAGGCCTTCCCGGACTTGTGATACTAAGACCTAATGGGATCCATTCCGATTTGGTGTTATGGTAGCAGCAGCAAAAACGCAATATTTTCGCGATGCATTCACACATTCCCTAAAGGACACTGACGCTACTGACGTTCTGACTCCGGACCGAATACCAGTTCGCGTCACACGTAAGACCGGAGAAAATGTTCGTTCCGCTAGCGTCGGTAGACCCATAGAAAACGACTGCAATCATGTGGTGTTTGTACTCATCACGAAAACACTGTACGTGGCGAACAATGCACTGCGATGGCGCACGGTAACTCCAAGCGGGCTCCCTGGAAGATTCAAGAAGTACGTCTGGCTGTTGATGCTCAGAACAGGGTTTCACCTACCCTAGGTGAAATCCTTCGAGGTTGTACTACTGAGGTGCGTATAGAACTGAGACCTAAGTGAAACGAAGAATGGAATAAATTCGTGGAGCAAAGTGGAATCCGACTACCGCACAACAACTCGGAAACAGAGAGGTGCTGACCGTCGAAGCAGAAATACTTCCAAGTTTTTAGAGAGAACATTTTGGGGAGCCTAGCGATTACTTATTCCTTCTGAAATCAAAACATCCGCAGAAGATTTCGATGAGCAAACGGTCGTTCCACGTGACGTTGCTTTTTACACATGTGCATTTGGATGAGCTTTCCGGAAATCTCTAACTGCTTTTGATCAACTCAGGGAAAAACGAATGCCTGCGTCCCGGTGCGAGGATTCGAATTTCCTAGTCGCTGGGTCGATAATAAAAAAAGTAACGGGCATTACAGAGGAGGTGTTTTTTAACTTCAGACTGAAAGACAATAAAATCAAATTGATCTTGAAATGTTCACGATGTTTCGCGTATTCGAACCTTGAATCCGTGTGAGATATGTCTGACCCATACGTCTCGTGGAGAAATTATGCATATTATTAAAAAAAAAAACCTGTCTCAAAACTTACTGCAAGCGAAAGTTCTGGCGGACTGTGACTACCAAATCGGAAGTGTGCAAGGAAAGGAGGCGAAACACAATATTTTTTACTTGCTTTATCTCCCCGCACTCACAGGGTAATGACCGAAAGAATCAGATCTTCGAAGCAGGCGGCCGAAATGGGTTTTTTAAGTCGGGTGGCTGGTGTTATGTGCCGTGATCGGATGCAGATTGCCGGGTTTCGTGGCAAGCCTTCGGCTCGAGCAGCTGCTTTTCTGGATCGAGAGATTTCAAGTCCGGTGATTTTCACGCGTCTACCGCATGCCTCTGAGAGGCTCTCTTACCAATATGATCGACAGAAGGCCTCGAATAAATTGGATCGACTGCGTTGCGAGGCTTTGTCACTCGAAGCTCCGCATCCCATCTGCTGATCTTGGGTCCGTTGCCCAGAATCGGGAAGGTCGGAGGACGCACCTCCATCTGCTTCAACCAAAGATCCCATCAGTTTGGAACGGGCCGATCTTTAAGGGGAATCAATGAATCTCCGTAACATAATTTTCTGATCGAATGAAAACCATTCCACGTACTTTGCCGCGCTCGAAGAATGTTTGAAGTCGTGTCAATCGGGGCGGAGGCTGGTTAGATGGCGTGGCAGAAACCTGCACTTCACGAGTACAGCTCGAAAACTGCAATTCAGACAGAAAACTGTTTTAACATCTCGTGTGAAGCTGTGTTCTGGATCATGGGGTGTCCTGGGTGAAGGCAAAGTAAGAGTAATGCGCTTCAATTACTAGTTACTTTCTTTGTATGCTAATCGATCGTAACTAATTACTTTGCAAAGGTCAACAACAGAACCGGTAACTAGTTTCTTCTCCAAGGAAAAAGTCATTGGCGTCACTGCAACGCGTTACTTTTTCGATGGCAAACAAATTCAGGTGAAAGACACCAGCGCTTCATGATTGCACAGTTTGCCGTCATTGAAATCACCTGCGAGGCTGGAAACACTGTTCAAGTACAATAATCCCTTGACAATCAGTGATGCCGTGAAGCGGCAATTTAGCTCAATTTTTGCCCGTAAGAGAAGCGCAACTTCTGAAGCCAGCTTTGAGAATTGGCCTCTTCAAAGGGCGGATTTGCGCATGCGAGTATATCGCATGAAATTAAGTCGCTGGAAGAATGCCAGCCAACGTTTTTGTACGTTCGCATTCAAGTGGAGAACTCTACTCCCGCGGACATGGGGCGTCTATGGGAGCGATCCCTTACGAGAACAACATTCATGCCAGGACGCTCGCATGTTTAAACCCGCCCCTAGATGCAATACAAACCAAGCGTGAAAGTAATGCTAAATTTCAAGGTCATCCTATGAAATAGAATTAGAATGAAGATCGATCCCTAGCCACAGAGGCCTAGGAAATTTTACTTGAAAAGTAGCGTAAAGTTACTAAGTTGCGTAGTTAATTTTGGTGATGACTATTTTAACTTTTAACTACTTTCGGAATGGAATAATTGTATTCGTAAGTAAATACTTTTTACCTGTAAAGTGCCCAACTCTGATTGAGCACTTTACCTGTAGAAAGTATCTCTGGCAGCCATTTGTTCCTCACTATCTCAGATATTTAGGAAATAATGCAACTTTCCAACTGGCATTGTACCTTGTACAGTGCTACATGCACTGTCCTAATGTTTCCCACTTTTGACTTTGTGGTGCTATAACTCTCCAACTAGATGTGATACCTGAAACGATGCCATAATCAAATAGCGATTCTTCTTATCTTTTATTAGACCCAAGCTGTTAGTAAATTGCTTCGCCATATCTAAGTAATGGAAGTCTATATGAAGCTCACACCTTAGGATAATTTCTGTCTTATTAGTTTCTATTCATTATCACTAATATATTCCACTCATTTTACTTTCTGTTTGTCTTTAGCGTTGCCGCAACTCTCCTGGGTATGCTCTCAATCAGCGTGACACGTTCTGTTTTTGAACGATGCTCCATTTGGCTTGGACTCGCGACCACAGCTCGCGCATGCGCCTAGGTCTTGTCTCGTGCTCGTTCAGGCGCCCCTTCAAATGATCCCACAAGTTATTGATGAGATTAGGGTCAGGTGATTGCGGCAGGCGATCAAGGAGTTTGATGTTTTATTTCTGAGCTAATTGCGATGTCTTTTTTTTTTTGGCCGGTTGCCTTGGATAATTGTCCCTTGAGATGTTCCACATTGAGCTGGCAGTAGTGGATGGTTCCCTTGAGATCGTCCTTGAGGATGTGACAGTAGTGTTAAGCAGTACTTGATTCGCCCATGAATTCCGCACGGATTCCCGACTCCCTTTGGTCGTCTTGCATCCCCAAACCATAAAAAATCCACCACTATGATTGACAGTGGGTTGCACATGACGAGGTTGTAATGTTGTATTGTTCTGGTAGTTTCCAACCCCATTTCCGTCCAAATCGATTGATCGTGCTCTCGTCTAACCAAATGACGCATTCCCTTTGGTTTACAGTCCAATATTTTTATTTGAGAGCAATATCAAGCCAAGCCTTCATGCGTCGTGGCGAAAGCATACGTTTCCTGACCTTGGGTGCAGTCTTGAAACGAGATTCGTGAAGCACGTTCTTCTCTTCAACAATTGGGTGTTGACGTTGGTCTTCCAGACTGTTGTCAGCTTTCAGCGCATCGTTGCAACTGTGGCAACCTCACTAGAAGTAACTTGTCTCGTGAGTAAGCGCTTCTGCAATAGTGAAAGCTTCGCTGAACGGCCGACCCTTGATTTTGGAGCATTTTGCAATTTCAAATTGGAGCATTTTGCAAATTGGAGCATTTCTTAGTAGCTAAAAATAGTATTTCAACAAATATTGAGCGTGAAGGCGATTTTACGCGTCGAACAGCTTTCTTTAGAAAGTTTGAAATTTTGAGACATGAATTCAGGGAGTAAGGTTTTATGTTTACTGCGATGAAGTATAGTGGATAAGATTCCTAAATGTTTAAAAGTCCACGACCCGTCTCGTTAAATGGCTCCACATACATGATTTCCATATGGCGCATCGAACTTGGAGTCGATTGATTGCTTTATTGAAGAGCGAGGCACTAATTG